TGTCAGTAAAATGGTACGGATCCATATATATCGTCTCACTTTATATATACTAGCAGGAACCCGTATAACCCTAAAATGGTGTCAAGACTCAAGAGACTAAAATAATTAATACCTATTTAATTCGCGTTTTTGACACCACTTGGGGGTCCAAATTTTGGGCTCTAAAAGTAAAACTCCTATTTCTTGGCAAATTTTTTATTTTTTCATGCTGATTTGGAGCCATTAAAGCATTTGACCCAGTCAAAAACGTTTCAGTTGTCTTTCTTTTACGGTTTTTGCGGAAAGTCGCGTTAAAGTTGATGCCGTGGTGTCAGTAAAATGGTACGGAACCCTCCATATATATTGTCTCGCAATATTGACCGCATGAACGGTATAATGTCCATGTCCAATTTAAGGTTAAAACTGGATCTGGAAGGAGGTGTCGTTTTACGGCCTACAATCTACATAATATCTTTTACCTTACCTTTACTTTGATACCTTTGATCTGCTTCGTTAAACATCAGAGTTGCTGACCACCCCAGAGAGCAAATGCCTCTCGATCGTTACGCCAGTCCAGTATAGAATTGGAGTTCGGTGATGTGAAGCCCCGGATTGGCGGTTTATCCGGCAAGGAAAGCATGAATGCCGTCATACTCATATGACGCTTGATCGAAGCCATCATGCTTGGAGACTGCACGTATGTGCCAAGGTATACAGTTCCAGAGTCTGGGACCCATTACACTGATGATGTTTCATATAGAGTCTGATCAGCAGCTGAGCTTTTTGTACGGACAGCTGGAACCTTAGACAAGGTATCCAATCGTGGATTTACTGTGAACTGTACTTCAAGGTCGTTGGAGGTGAAACCATGTAGATTTTTCCACATCTGCATGGCCATGACAGGTCCTATATAGGGTTTTTACGATACAGTGGGAGCCGCGCACTCGTGAGCGGCGGCTCATACAACGTATGACAAGCCCTGTGTATACGCGTACTGCGTGACGCGCTTGTTTCACAAGTAGAATATATCCTTTGCCGCCTTCGGCGGTCGCGCGCTATTACCTGTAGTAGAGGCTCTTACGGGCATTGTCTGCTCGATACGCTTGGGACCCCAAATACACCTTACTAGACGTATTTTTGACCGTAGAATCGATTAAAAGTGGTTTTAAGATGATTGGACTGACTATTTAGGGGTAAAATTGCAAAAAACCGATTTTTAGGCAAAAAATAGGCCAAAAACCATGTTTTTTGATATTTTGAACAAGTTAATTTTGTTGGCATGTCGGGAAAACTTGCATGGAGATAGTTAAAACACAGCTGCACAAGATGATATAAAAATTTGAAAAATCCCTCTATTTTTTTGGGGGTAAAAATCCAAAAAAGTGGTAAAAATTTTGACTTTTTTGCTTGAAGTTTGAATAATTTTTTGCAGTTGTATTAAATCAACCCAAAAATAGTCACATCGTGTTTGTCTAAATTTTTCCTTTCCGAGAAGTACCCACTTCATATACTTGATCGAAGTTTGAATATTGTCACTCCGCAAGCGTTTTTGCCAAATTTTCGACGCGCACTACGCGCAAAAGCATTTAGTTGTTATTAATTGGCACCCGCGCGTTCATCATAAATTTCAAACAGCTATAACTCAGCGAGATTATGTCTGTTCTAGCTCATATTTTCACACCAAATAGAAAATAATGTGATCTTATTGCTGGCAAAATATGAATATAATCACTTTATTTGCTTTAGAGAAATAGACTGTCAAAGTTTAAAACGCGCATTGGTATAGCACGTGACTAATAAGGCCAAATTTATACTTCTTAACATATTATCAATCCTTAGACATCATACTATTGTGTCCAATTAGCGGTTAGGTCTCTAAACTCGTAGCAGAAAATTAAACACGTCTTCTTGCCCGTAAGAGCCTCTACTACTGGGGACCGGACCCCAGGCTATTATGTTCATAAACATAATAAAGATTCAGCGGAATGACAGGCTGAGCGCCGCTCAGTAAGCGCGCTACTAGTTGCAAGCGAAATGGCTCTGGTTAGAGCAAATTTTTACAAGGAAAGTGCGTCCGAACAATTTAAAGCATACCTAATCTTACTGGGCCACGCTCAGCCTGTCATTCCGCCTAATCTCTATCATCTATGTTTATAAACATGATAGCCTGAGGTCCTCAGGTAAATCTAACTACAAGTATAACCATTGCATCAGACATTATGTTACAGCTAAAAATAGCGTATTTTGCCCCATTTCACATTTACATCACTATATCATTTCCGATATCCACCAAATTTTTCGGACAGTTGTGAAATTAAAGCTTGCTCTAACATCTAGAACCAAAGCCCTTTCGCTTGCTGTAGCGCGCGACCGCCGAAACAAGCGCGTCAAGCAGTACGCGTAAACCACAGGGGGGGGGGGCTGAAACCAGGTTTTCGATCAAACGTTGCCATTTGTAGTCAAACTGCAAACGTTGCCAGCAGTTGCTCTCTTTCAATGAAATCGCTGCATTATGAAAGCCAAGCTTCGCATACGAATATATGTAATTCAATTATTACATTGATGTATGTACTATTTTGAAAAGATTTTCAATAAAAAAAATAATGGCAGGCAAAATGCAGCGATTTCATTGTAGTAGAGGCTCTTACGGGCATTGTCTGCTCGATACGTTAGGGACCCCAGATACACCTTACTAGACGTATTTTTGACCGTAGAATCGATTGAAAGTGGTTTCAAGATGATTGGACTGATTGTTCTGGGGTAAAATCGCAAAAAAACCGATTTTTGGGCCAAAAATAGGCCAAAAAACCATGTTTTTTGATATTTTGAGCAAGTTAATTTTGTTGGCATGTCGGCAAAACTTGCATAAAGATAGCTAAAAAACAGCCGCACAAGATTGTATAAAAATAAAACAAATCCCTCTATTTGTTCTGAGGTAAAAATCCAAAAAAGTGGTAAAAATTTTGACTTTTTTGCTTGAAGTTTGAATAATTTTTTGCAGTTGTATTAAATCAACCCAAAAATAGTCACATCGTGTTTGCCTAAATTTTTCCTTTCCGAGAAGTACCCACTTCATATACTTTATCGAAGTTTGAATATTGTCACTCCGCAAGCGTTTTTGCCAAATTTTCGACGCGCACTACGCGCAAAAGCATTTAGTTGTTATCAATTGGCACCCGCGCGTTCATCATAAATTTCAAACAGCTATAACTCAGCGAGATTATGTCCGTTCTAGCTCATATTTTCACACTAAATAGAAAATAATGTGATCTTATTGCTGACAAAATATGAATATAATTACTTTATTTGCCTTAGAGTAATAGACTGTCAAAGTTTAAAACGCGCATTGGTATAGCACGTGACTAATAAGGCCAAATTTATACTTCTTAACATATTATCGATCCTTAGACATCATACTATTGTGTCCAATTAGCGGTTAGGTCTCTAAACTCGTAGCAGAAAACACGTCTTTTTGCCCGTAAGAGCCTCTACTATTGGACGAGCGCAACTGCTCACTGCTGGCAACGTTTGACTTATTGACTACAAATGGCATCGTTTGATCGAAAACCTGGTTTCAGCCCCCCAACCCTGTGAGACACATGGCTTTGTGAAATTAAAGCCGCTATATTGAAAGGTCTTCATCAATTTGCAAAATGATCTCATTCAAGGAACTGAAGATATGACAGAATAATACGACAAAAATCAACGAATTTCGTCAAATAAGGCGACTTTTACACCTAAAGCCTTACTGGGCCGCGCTCAGCCTGTCATTCCGCCAAATCTTTATTATTGTTAATCATTAATGAACATTAACAAAAGGGGTAACAAAAGCCGCGCACCATCAAATAAGGCACCAAGCCCAAGGCTGAAGGCGAAACTCACGGATCATTTCAAAAAGCAGCAGTTATGAGCAGTTTCTTTGCAATATAGTTTTCCTGTGTTTGGTACTGTAAAAATTTTAACACATTACAGTCTCTAGAAAACAATGGTACAAAAATTTTGAAAATCCGAGCAAGTTTATTTTTATCGTGCGCGTGCACCCCTTGTAGCGCGATGCGTTAATGCATAATGGACGCTGTCAATTCATCGCAGCTCGGCGCGGCACAGTAGCACATCTCGCCGATCTGAACTGTGATCAGAAGCCTCATTGAGTGCGCGGCGCGGAATAGTAACCAGTAACACATCGCGCTACAACGCAATGCGTTACTGTGCCGCGCCGCGCACTCAATGAGGCTTCTTTTCGACTTGTATCTTGACTTGTTTTCGTGGCACACCTCTGCATTTTAAGTTGTTGTGCCACTATAATCAATAAGTTTAAATTATTATTATTATATCGGGTCTCAATAAGAGGTCTCGACTGCCTAGGCATCAAACCCTGGCAATCGGTAAATTTCCTTTGGCCAGGAGTCAGCTGACCCTAGGGACCAGAGGATAAAGACGTAGAGACTGTGTGTATCTACAAAAGTGGTTGTTTTTACAAGAGACAGGGTTTGCAATGCAAGGGAAGAAAAATGGGAGAAACAATCACAAAGTGCATATTATATGAATTAGCAAATTATGAATATTAAGCAATTACAAAATCTCACGATAACATTAAATTATGTTGAGAAGGACATTAGAGCCTGAGGTTCCGGTGGTTTACTGTTGTTTCACCAGCTGTTTGGTCAAGTTCTAGCCCGTTACTTGGACTAGTAACGGGGGAACTAACAGTGTTAATAGTTTAAACTTTGTTTTATAACTGGATCTCAGGGAGTAGGCATTTGGCAATGCCAGGGACACAGGAGGGGCTAAGTGCAAAGAAACTGCTGCTAACTGCTGCTAACTGAGTGGAGTTGGGTTAAAAACATATAAGAGATACGATGATTTAACTTGTAGAAGCTTTCAGTAAACATGTGTTAATCGTCGTCAGCTGAATGTGATGTGGTGGACAATGCTTATATGTGATTGAGTGGTGTCAGGGATGGAGGGTGGGGGAGGTGTGGGTGGGAAAGTGAAAATTACAGTACAATGTCAATAAAAATTTAGTCTTCTGTTGAGGTTGAGAAGGAAATGCCAGATGGTCTGGACTTTAAGGATTTGGCAATTTTAGGAAGAATGGGGTCCCAGAGGGAACTACATTTGGGTGCGCGGTCTGTTCTGTTCATAGCTGGTTGTCGTATTTGTATAGCTGCGTGTTCTGTGAGGTCTAGTTGGGTGCGTGAGGTGAGGGATTTGAGGACTTCGATGTTGTTCCAGGAGATGGTGTGGCCGGTGGTCAGGGCATGATGTGCAGGGGCTGATTTGATTCTGTCTGTGGATTCGTCGATGGCGTTGTTGAGTCTGTAACATCGTTCGTGTTCTTTCATGCGGTGGACCAAGGGTCTGTAGGTCTGTCCGGCGTATTTGGAGGGGCACTGTGAGCAGGAAATTTCGTAGATGGTGTTGGGGGTGAGGTGAGTAGGGGGTGTGGTCTTCGTTTTGGTGAGGAGGTTGCGGAGGGAGGTAGCAGAGGAGTGGGTGACTTTGATGTCGTGTTGTCCGAGTATCTTGGAGATGGGTTTGGATAGGGAGGGATGGAAAGGAAGAGAAACACTAAGGGCATGTTCACGGGTCTGTCGGTTGAATGAGGCTAGGGATTGGTGGCGAGAGGGGTTGGTGAATTTCCGTTGTACTTCGTCCATGATGGTGGTGATGCGGTGAGGAGGGAAGCCGTTCTGGAGGCAAACGTGTCGTACTGTTTGGAGTTCGTCGTCAAGGTGTTGGGGTGAGCAGATGTTGTGGGCTCTTCTGGTCAGTGATCGGATGACTGCGTTCTTAGATGAGTTGGTGGTGCAGGAGGAGTACTTGGTGTAGAGGTTGGTGTGGGTGGGTTTTCTGTAGACTGATGTGGATTTGTCAGGGTGGATGAGAACGTCAAGGAAGGGTATAGTTCCGTCTGTAGAGGGATGTTCTTGGGTAAAGTTGAGGTCTTCAGTAAGGGAGTTAAGGAATGTAAGGAAGGATTCTGCGTGGTTTCTGTCTCTGAAAGATCCAAGGCCGTCGTCAACGAAATGGGAGTAAGTGTTCGGAGGGTCAGGACATGAGGATAAAGCTAAGGTCTCGATTTCAGCAAGGCGGATTTCAGCTAGTTCAACAATGAGGGGGGATCCCATTGTACCACCTTCGTCTTGGGAGTAGAAGGAGCCGTTGAATTCAAGGTATGAGTTGTCAAGGCAAAAGTTGATAAGGGAGCCTATGGTGGTGGTGGTGACATTGGAGGGAAGACGAGAGGGGTTCTGTTCAAAGGAGGAGATGACAGTTTTGAGGGCTAGGCGCATGTCACAGGAGGTGTACAAGGATTGGACGTCTAAGGAGGCGTGGTAGTGGAAGGAGGGATTGAGAGAGGAGTCGAAGCGATGTTTGAAGTCGGAAGAGTCTTTGAGGCGTAAGGGGTTCTGGGCTAGGGGTTTGAGGAAAGATGCGAGGACTTTGTGGAGGGCTTGGAGGGGGGTGTTGTAGAAGCTGACTACGGGACGGATAGGTGCGCCGGGTTTGTGTATCTTAGGTTGTCCGTAAAGTTGAGGCCATCTAGGATGTAGGTTGCGCATCTTGTGGTATAGGTCGGTCGTGATCTTCTTGTCGGTGTGTAGTTTCTTGAGGACTTTCTGTAGTTTAGTGGTAACGGATTGAGTGGGGTCTTTCGTTAAGAGGGTGTAACTACCTGAGGATAAGTGGTCGGTAACTTTGGTTATGTATTGATCGTGAGTCAGTACAACAGTGGCGTTGCCCTTATCAGCAGGAAGAAATTTCAATTCAGATTTCTTAGATTTTAAAGATTTAAGAGCGGTACGTTGTTGTGGAGTCAAATTGTCGGTGGTCATGTCACGTTTATTGTCAAATTTAGATAATACAGAGGTGACCTGATATGTGGCTGAGGCTTCCATGCCTTCTCCTAGTTGTTTAGTGATATTCTGTATGAGGGGAGCCAGGTCGGGGGTAGGATCTGAGGTGGGTGTCGGGACGAACTTCAGTCCAAGGGAGAGGACGTCAGTTTTAGTTGCTGCTAACTGCTGCTCACTGCTACTCACTGCTGCTCACTGCTGCTCGCTGCTACGAACTGCTGCTCACTGCTGCTCACTGCTGCTCACTGCTGCTCACTGCTGCTGTCAGTGAGCAGCAGTGAGCAGCAGTTAGTAGCAGTGAGCAGCAGTTAGCAACAGTTATATGCGTGTCTTTACTGCACAAGCGTGCGTTGTGCAGTAAAGACACGCTCTTGCCGGCAGCCATCCAATGGACTGCTGCCGTTACCGACCCCGGGGGTGCTGACCAAGAGTATCAGCCTCAGACCCACTACTCACTAGCTCTGGTGTTTTGAGCGGGGGCCTTATTATTATAAAGGGTCTCAATAAGAGGTCTCGACTGCCTAGGCTTCAAACCTTGGCAGTCGGTAGTTTTCCTCTGGCCCGGGATCATTATTATTATTATTATTATAAAATCCATAATCTAATAAAATATAATTAAATCGTAAATTTCTGAAACAAATTTTCCCAGCCCTACGTTGATTACATAATAAGTCTATTGGATTTAGATAGGTGATATTGTGTTGCATACAAATGGTTTCGAATTAAAACTGAAGGTTAATCTACAATAAAGAATACTTTAGGAAGCTTTCTCAAGCCCTTATGAATGATGGGGACAGAGATGCTACCTATCTTAGCAGAGTGTAAAGTGATTCATCAATTTACAAAGCAGAAATCAAAACTCAACTTCAGTAGCAAAACAGATGGAGAATTTATATCATTCTTACTGGAGACCACTCTTAGCATGCTCTCTGTAGGTAAGCTACTGCCTAATTAAATGACACAAATACTTTACTACTTTGTTGATGTCTGGATTGGAATGTGATACCCTATCCTATCCTAAACTTACTGTTTCTATTATTTTGACCTCGTTGGAATTTTCAGTGAAGCAAATATCACCTGTCATAAAAGCTGTGGAAGAAGTTGCTCTTATTTGCGATAAGACGGAAGGTTAGTATCCAGTTTTTAGAGTCTAATAACTAGAATGGATGGCAGGATACTGTCTCTGTGATAGTGGTGTCTTCAGATTTGGTCTACTTGCCTTGTAAGCATAGCTGACATGAAGGCTTGGCTGAAAGTGTGCCCGTTTGATAGTACCAATTTTTGAGCCTTGCTGTGACACGCCAGCCTCTTCCATTGTCCCAAATCTACGATAGTTTGTATCCTAGCAATACTCAATTTTTTTTTATCTAGACACTTATTTTACTTCGGTGTATTCCAACAGCCACAATGTTACACAAGTGCAACCAGCCAATTACAGGAAGCCGAAGGATCTTTTTGGCCAGTGACGGTTAAGGTAGTGTGTACCATACTTTCTTCGTCCGAGACTTTGCTGCAATGTGCAGCTCCTCATTTAACCCTCACACTCGATTTCTCGAGTATTCGGCTGAGTAGACCGGGGGGCTGCATAGACCACTCATGATCCTTAGCTGAACGTCGACGACGCTCACCCCACGACCAGGCAGTCAGTGGGTTTCGAACTCGCAACCTAACGATTGTAAGACAGGCGTTCTAACCAACTGCGCTACCTGGCCGCTAAATAGCAATACTTGAATGTAGAATTACAAAAATGTCAACTTATCAGATACCAATTGCTGTGGTGGAGGTGTATACATTTAATTAAATCATGGCACACAGGGATCTGGAATGCCACTGGTTAGTCTTGGCTCATAAAGCACACTTTCAGAAGCGCTTCCTTGTAGGCTGCGCTTGCTAAGCTCAGCTGATCTAAGATGTAGACACCATGGTGATACATGGGACACATTTGGTGCTATCGAGACAGGTATGTGTTTTCTGGTACCAGGTTACCAGCTAATCCAACTGTCTGTGCAAAATACCCTGTCTATCTATATATAATGTAACCTAGTAACAAATTGATGTCTATTATATTTCTCAGATTCATCTTAGTCTGAAACTAATATCAAATTATTATCAGAACTTGATACAGCAGCTGAATTGAAGCCAGATGAGGGTGAAAATACGGACCCACCTACTACTGATTTGCAAGTTGAAAAGCCTGACAAGAAATTGGTTGAAAAGGTGACTGATGAAAACTGTCAATTATTACTCTCTGAGTTCTCAGAGGAAATGAATGATTTGATCGAGAACCTCTCGAATCCTGAAGCAAAAGCTTTTACCCAATCAAATGACAATCAAAAAGAGTGAGTATGTCATGCAAGTTTAAAATTGTTTTGGTTACAATTACAGTTTCTTTCAAAATTTATTACACTGTCCATATATGTGTCAACATTGCCTCACTTATGCAGTGAAGAAGTATCTTATATAATTCTGTTTTGTCAGATGCAATATGGTAACTAAGGAAACAGTACCGACTACTGAAAGTAACAGCTCAGAAACGACATCAGACCCCGTGGATCTAGTACAGCCTGACGAAAAGAGTAAGCTTTTTTAGTTTCAAAATTTATTGCTGTATTTTTCAACTTTCTTTGATAATTTTTTATACAATCTCAATTCTCATGCTTCAATATGGCGAGTACATAGGGCGCTTCTGAAACAGCAAAATTGTATTAAAATTGGTTATTTGAAAAAAAACTCACCAGAAACTAAATACCTGACACTAGATCGTAACACAGGCACAACTAACCAAGCAGAATGTGGGGTTTGTGGTAAAGCGGTGGGTAAAGGATACCTTAAAGAGCACCTGCGGCTACACCTTCAGAACAAGTGGCAATGTGACTACTGCCACAAAACGTTTTCTCTCAGAAACTACCTTGTAAAACACATGAAACGATTCCATGGCGATAAACGTTTTCAGTGTAACCTTTGCCAGCGCTCCTTCGCATCCACAATCGACCTCGAAAAACACATGCCAATCCACAAGGTATCTAACCCTTTCATTTGCGAGATTTGCCAGAAAGGATTTGCACATTATTCCTCGTTAAAACGCCACCTCATCGCGCATACAGGTGTAAAGAACTTCCATTGTAGTAAATGCGATAAGTATTTCATGAGAAAAGACTCCCTGAACAATCACAAAGTGTTGTCCTGTACTGGAAAATCAGAAACCTCTCCCTCAGCCACGTCACCGGGTGCTTCTTCTCAAATGTCCCATTCGGAGTTGAATGACTTACTCAATACTTTGAACAGTAATAACGTTAACCTGGAAGGTTTAGGAGGTGAGATATTGGACGCCATCAGCAAGGCAGTCAGGTGATGTTCAGTATATTATCATTAATCATAATTCACAGTGTATATAATATATCATAGAGGGTTCCCTCAGTTTATTAATTTGTTCTGCTTGAATTTACATTCAGCGACGAAATTTTTGTTTGACTCTTGTTTGAGTATTTTACTATTACACTCGACATAATATAAGATAAATTCGGTATGATCGATTTACTTTATTGTTTAATGCTAACACATTCTGGATATTGAATGTTATTGGTTTTAAAATCGTATGATTTACTATTCAACCTAACTTACTCATAACATTTTCACATCGTGTGTTTAATCCCGTTGTGCGTAATTTTTGTACACATTGCCCGGAATTTTCTAGTACCTTCCATATTTGGTTACATAATTTGTTGAGTAATTTAAAACTTAATCACTATCAAATCTTAAATACATTAAATATCTAAAATTTGAATATTTATTTCAAGTAAATTTATCGAAATTTGTGAAACTCATCAGTGCAGTGTTTACTCATCAAACATGCAACGCCTTTTAAATGAAGGGTTTCACCCTTGTCAGATTATTATGCCTATTTTGTAGATAGCCTTATTTAGTTGATTAATGTTCTTGTTAATTTAATTCATTTACGATAGTTTATAAAAAGTTGTATCATCGCCTTTTCTTCTTAACATAGGACTCAATTGACGTTTAAAGTTTCCAATGTTTAGGATAAATCATAAAGATTTAATAAACTCTTTGATGTTGTTAGAGCCAGAGGGGGGGGGGGGGGTTAATGGCACTTTTTTAGTTTTCACATTATATGATAAGAGCTGCTGGAGACAAACAAAAAAAACGAATAAAACTCTTGGAATAACAAATTAACTGAAAGTTTCAAGGTGATTGCTCAAAAAATGTAGGAGGAGATTTCATACTATAGGCTATCATAATATAATCTGTACCGTATTTAACAAAACTTACAAATATTTTAGGAGAAATGAACAAAGTATGTCTGTTCTAGTAAAGTGGATTTGATGAAGGAGCATCCCTGAGCGTGTCACCGCAAACTCTGTAAATAACTTCTTCCACGCCTTTTTCCTATTGATATCCTATATAAATAGATTGAAGCCGGGAGGAGGACTGTCAGAAGGAGAACAAAAATTGGAGAAAGCCCCACGCTCTAGATCCTCGCTGCTAAACGTGCCGCGAAAGATGTTATGGAGAATGGCAACACATTAAATAACATAAAGTAAGTTACTCTTGACTAATACTTATACTAATACTTAGTATTGACTAATACTTTAATGTTAATTATTTGGCAAATTCTGTAGATAAATCAAATTGGAAACTTGAACATAATATGATAAACGTGTAGTACCTAAACTAAAATAAGCACTTTGCTCAGTGAGACAAGATTTAACGGACTTATCAGTGGAACAGATAAGATGACAGTAGTCTACAAAGTGCCGCCCTACTCACATCCCAACAAACGGCCCATACAGTCAGTTGGTGGGACTTCTTCTCAAGGAAATGTGAGTATTTCTTTAAATATGAGTATTTCTTTAAAGGTGAGTATTTCTTTAAATGTGAGTATTTCTTTAAATATGAGTATTTCTTTAAATGTGAGTATTTTTAATTTTAGTGATCTTTATTCTCCTTTAATATGATCCAAAATGGTTTGAAGAATATGTAATAATGGTAATTTATAAGACATCATGATGAAACATCTTAATTTTGTAGAGTGTAACGATGATGGAGGGGAGAGGACAGCACATGTCCGGGACAGTCCCAACAATTATTCAACAAACTTCTCCCCAGCCGAACAATATTCCTCAACTACATTCCCAACAAACCTTGTATTCCACTAGCCCCAACAAGGTCAGTGCTTTAAGGATGTAATTGTTTCAGTTTCCAGTAATTTGTGTTTAAGCTTTGTTTACAAATACATGGGCACAAAATTAATAAATTCGATTGGGGAATTGTAACTACCACCTGTGATGTGTACAGTAACACCGTCAATCTTTTTTGAGATGTATCAGTAAAAGAACTGCTAAAACAACTACAAAAACAATAACTACCGATTTTACAAAACTTGTTAATTCGTGTAGTGAAAAAATTCCGTAATCTGCATAACAAAGCTGGCATAAAAATTTACGTTCGAATAACCGGCTGAACATAATATCCTAGTGTACAGAATCAACTAACACTTAGTATCTCCGACCGAACTTCTTCTGTCATACGTTTGGTAAATGTCTCTACAGTTTCATCTACATTCCAAATATTATCAAAAAGTGTTCTCATGAGATGAAATCGGCCGAACCTCTTTTTCGTGTAAGCAACATCTCTTTCCTTATTCGTCTGTTTCTCATTGTGGATTTGAAAATCGGGACAGTAAACAACTTTCTTTTGGGCAGCTTTCAGTCTCAGGAACAAGTCTTTGTGTTCCACAATCTTCAGTTCTTCGCTCCAGCCGCCCACCTCCAAAATGTCCTTTGTCTTTGCCATGAAAGCATTTGTGGTCAATTCGCATCTCAGGCACTCTGGAAAGTTCTCTATTGTTTCATTAAACCTTGCACAAGCACCTTTATAAAGAGTAAGTTGTCGTCTCTTTTCTATATCCGAGTACCCAAACTGCAAATACCCAGAAAAATCAGCATTTTCAGTTACTTTTCCACCCACCAGTGATGCATCTGTAGTGTCTAAAATCTCAGCAAGTAGTTCAATGTTGGTGCGGTTGGTGATAATCGTGTCGTCATCAAGTAAGAGAAAATACTTTGTCCTGACCTGTTGAACTGCCAGCGTCCGTCCCAGTGCAATCCCTAAATCCTCGTTATCAGGATCACTAATAATGTAGTTCAAGTTCTGAAAATGTGACAAGTTCCTCTGAATCTCCTGGGAGTAAGGTTCCCCACCATCATCCACAGCGATTATGGGGAGATCGTAACCCTTTACTTCCCTCAAAGACTGAGCTAATCTCGTCACCAGATGGGGTCTTCTACCGGTTTTAGTGACTACTGTCACACATTTAGACAGATTATAGCACCTTTTAGTTTGGCGAGGAGGAAGCAGCGTGACTGGGGGTGCTCGCTTGTTCAGACTGCAGGCTGGGTAGTCGCAAGTGGAGTTGGTCACTGGTAACGGTTGGATCAGAGCTTTTCTCCTCTCCAAAAATGTGTTTTCTTGAATAAGTATCACGTTGGAATAATCTGTAAGACAAGTCATGAGGCCTACTAAATCACCTTGATGGGGGTTAAATGTTGCATGGAGTTTTATTTTTGAATTATCCTTTGTCACTGGAGTTATGCACAAAACCTCGCCTGAGTCAGATGTAAGATGATGATTTGTAAGCTGAAGGTAAGTTTCGTTAAGAAGGGTAAATTTTGGAGCTTCAGTACAATCGCCGAGTTCTAAAAGATGTCCCGAACCAGAAACTAAGGTATTTGACTTTTGTAAACACTGTTTAGTGTGCTCAAACATCAGCCTGCCGTCCAGAGTGAAGCTGAATGACTGTGATATTGTCGGGTCACAAAACGCCGCTTGAACAAGGGACCCAGTTACCGAACCCAAACATTTTCCCCTGGATAGCTGAATCCTGAAACTCGAACTGACAGGATTTTCTTTCTCCTCTCCTATGACATTAACAAAACCGAAAGTGAAAGTTGATAGTGTTATCTGTGTTTGTAGCATGACTGGCGGTTGTACTAGTATAGAAGAGATGATAAAACACGAAATGACGATACATATTTTCTTGATAGTCAAGGTTTTCTTTAGCAACCTCAATATCATTGTAGACGATACACGATTATCTGTAAGAAATTCATTATGGAGAACCGATACCAATAACTGTCGGATTTCGTGGAAAGCATTACTCTAATTCATCTCTATTATAATTCAAAGAATTGAATAGCAACGGTGTTTTAATGCACACATGCACGTGCAATGATTGTTTTAACGTCATTTTGATCGGTTTTGTGGTAATAACGTTGTGTTCAGTGCGAGCTACATTTTAATCGGCTGTATCTTCGGTGGGGATGAATACTTTTTGAAACGATTTGAACTTACTTCCAAAGAATACTATTAGGTTCCTCCCTGTTACCACGGGTTTTCTAGTAAAATATCATAAAATTAAAGCTTATTAGTGCTTTTCATTCAAAGAAGTAAAACCGAATCTTTTATGTCATGTTTCCAGGGTTTGGACTGGAATTGCCAGCTTAAAGAACTTCCATCGCATTACATTACATAATTTTCTGAAACATATGCTACATTTACAATAAATTATGCGATATCACAACATTACAATCAACAAAATAAATTTAATCACAGAATCTCAAACACAAATAATCGTAAATTAAACACAAAAAACAAATTAAACAAGCAATAAATGAATACAGAATATACAAATGCGCATCTTTTGACAACTTACTCCTTCATAAAATAAATTTTTGACAAAAATTTTTTTAGACTTCATAAAATAAATTTTCGACAAAAATTTTTTTAGATGGTAATATAATTGTTACTAATTTTTAAGTCACAAATAATAAATCAATACAAATTAATCACAAATACTAGAATAATTAATAGATATTAGGTAACTTATATAACTGAAAAACGATATATGTCGATACAAATTACAAAATAATATTAGGTGATTGAAACATTTCAATAAATTCATCATAAATATCACTACCATATTTACCCCAAATATTTAATCTTGATTTATAAAACTTGACAAACTTGTTGCGCAATGCAGCTAACTTAAATCCTTGTGCAACCAATTTACCTAAAAGTTCGGTAACACAATTTTTAAAACCCTTAAGTGTCGAATTAATTCTGGCTAATCGTACTAATTGAGAAATAAATATTCCATAAGACAAATTATTTGGAACGTTTCCATCCAAAAACGGATAAGATATAACTTTAAAATTATAATCTTTTCTTTTATCATATAATGTCACTCTAAACTTCCCTTGATAAATACTAATGTTTAAGTCTAGATAGCAACATTTACGAGCCGAAATATTAGTATTATTTACTATCATTTCCTTAGGATAAATATCTTCTAATACATTCTGTAATAAATTGAAATCATTAAAAACTATCAAATCATCTTGATAACGAAATGTGTCTTTTAATCTTTTTAAATTTTCTGTATCCCCTTTTTCTATCAAAAGTTTAATATATTTATATTCGTAAACATGTAAATAAACATTAGCTATTTGTGGTGCTGCATTGGTACCCATTGGTATTACAATAACTTGTCTATAAATTTGACCCTGATAAGTAACATAAGAATTATCAATCAAATAATTAAGACATTCCAAAAGTGTATCTTTAGAAAACTGAACTTTATTTTTACTAACATTGTCAGAGAAATAGGCCTTCTTAGTATAAAGATTAGGAATAATATAAGACTTATCTTTAAAATCAAATACTCTTTCTACAAACATACGAAGATTATCCTTCAATTGAATATGAGGAACAGAATTTGGTGACTAAATTATCATCACTGGAAGAGCAAAGTTAACAAATAAAAATATGATCGGACTGTAGTTCTTCCCGCATGAGATTGAGGTGGATTCTGCTGAGGTGGTAGTACAATTCACACTAATTGTTTAATTACTATAAATTGTTCCCTCTATTTTAATTCTATGTTGCCTCACATTGTGCTAAGAAACTGATCTGCCTCACTGGGTGGTGTGCAATGCAGTCTTATTATATCTACCGCGGCCGGGTGTATGCCTCTCATAATGTATATGTTTTTCCGGCCTCTCTCATGCTGAGCACCATGATTGATTTAGAATCAAAAAGACTGTGCTGCTGATGGTCACTTTCAAAAACATCTGTCACGGAAAAATGTTAAAATTTGCCAAAAATAAGTTTTTTTTGCATAATTTGGTGGATAATTTTTGGAACGGGATGAAACTCCAGGATATGGTGTGCAATACCATAACCTTTACTTTCTGCCACTTTTTGTTTTGATTCAGGGCTAAATCCAGTGGATAAAAGTGAAACAGACCAATTGGCAATTTACTTCAGGTGGGGGGGGGGGGGGGGGGGGTTGAAGCCCCCTGGAAAATTTTGGAATTTTACCCTCGTATTTCAATATCTCTCAAAACAGTCTCAATTGAGTAGAAGTCATTTTCTGTCCAATTTTCGATTTGACGACATCCTTTTGTTAAGGACGGTCTCAGCTTTAACAAAAATGCATTTAAGTCTGTTAAAAGATTTTTTGGAGCATTTTCAACAAAATGTGACGGACGCGACAAGTTGAGTTCCAAAATTTGTTTCTTAAAAGATACAAGCCTGATAATTTCTACGTTACTCCCTTGCTTTCAGAAGAGATAGGTTACAGTGATTTTTTGAATATAAATAGCACTATGTGGCTCTGAAAAAACTTTTTTGCTTAATTTTGTGACGGACGCGACACCATCTTTGTGGAAATTTTTTAGAAAAAGTATTTGAGTAACGGTTTTGAAACTTTGCATATAGCTCTAGCTCTAATTCTTATGCCTTAGTGTATGGAATTTCATAGATAAATATTGCTGCATACCCTTTATATGGCCCTTTGAAAATTTGAATGGTTTTTTTCATTTCCGAGTAGTGTTCCTTTGAATGAGAAAAATCACAAATTAACGCAACATGAAACAAAAAACTTTTGTTGACCTGTAAGGTTAAGAGTCTAATGAACATGTTCTTACCAAAATTAAGTGCCTATCTTAACATTTTTCATTTTCACCAAGTGGAACCTTACCGTGGAATTGCCCAAAGGTGTAATTTTTGCTATTGTCACTTTTCAGTTTGATAATCAATAATGGTAGGTCATAATATTTTCATTGGTTAGGGAAATTTTGAATAATTCTTGATTCTAATAATGTTCAGGTTCCCCAAGCTCAGAAGATGGTGCTGCAGCTCCAACGGGATCCAAAAACAGGAAACCTAATGATGCTGAACAACCAGCCCATTCGCCCTCAGACAGTCATCCAGATGGACAATCAGGGTGGGCCGGCAACAGGTCAACAGCAGGCTCAACAGGTGGCTAATCATGGGTATCACCCGGGGCGGCACCTTCACCACCAGCTCCAGCTTAAACACTTGCCGCAGGTTATCTCAACTTTATCTTCATCATTATATTTGATATTATCATAATATAACTAATATTCTGCGAAATTGACCTAAAGGTCAATTTACCATTCAGATCAGGTTACAATATGGCGAATTAACTTACTTTTCCGAATATGTAGTGATAATCTAATGTTTGGTATTTCAGGGCGGTGGTCCGGGAGTGACTCAGCTAACCCACGCTCCAGTAGTTCAGCAAGCATCACCCCAACGACCGCAGATAATCCAACCTCGTCCCCCACAAGCCTACCAACAACAGGCGCCCCGGCCCCAACAGCAGTCCTATCAGCCTAACTACGAGAACATGACCTACACACGAACCTACCCACAAACCAACCAACAGTCGTACCAGTACAACTACCAGACTCTGCGGCCGGTCACACGTTACGTCACCCCCCAGTACCAGCAGCACATGTTGGTGCAGAACAACATGCGCCCAGGAACCCAGACTGTGGCTCCAGCCCAGGTCATGACGTCACAGCCCCGTTTTCCTTTTCAGAACCACGTGTTGTCTACCAGCCGCGCTGTTACCACGGAGCGACTTTCTCATTTCGACTACGGCGAGCAAGATGAGGTATCGAACAATCGGCCTGGTTTTCCCCGGACCTCGTCCTATCAACAAGTTATCGAAAACGAGGACAAGTCAACGTTACGTGTATCACATGCCGGTCACGTACCTTCTTACAACCCTGTATTTGTGGGACCTCAACCTGCTCAGATCATAGGACAACTCCGGCCTAACCAGACCTTTGTATCTCAACCTAACATTATCTCAACCCAGTCCAGTACCCATTTCCGTGCCACTTCAGTTCAGCAACCCTATGTTGTCCGAAACCAAATCAGGAACTCCGCACCCCTCCAACAAACAGCCGGTCTCCCAAACCGAGCTCCCAATGTTGTAGCGACTCCCGCGCAATCCTCCTCAACAGACTACTCGGCGGTGCGGCCTGTCATCCTCACGGCTCAGCAGGCTGGCCAGACCTTTCAGAGCAGTCCTGTTGTGGTGCAAATAAACGGAGGGAAAAGTATCAGAGGTTCCATCGTCTCCCTGAATACCCAACAACAACAACAACAACAACAACAACAGCCACAACAGCCAGCTAAACAGATAAATCCAGCTACTTCTACTCATGTTTATTTTACAATTCCTCAAGGTAACGGTGCTGCTAAGTTCATTAAAACTCCCAATGGACATCTGAGGCCTGTCAATGGAGTTGCTATCCAGAACTCTCTCTCCCAATCCAGTAAGTGAACATTATAATACATTAACAAATAAATTTAAATTATTTGCAGTAAAATTAATAGTGAGTTCATTGGAGGTAGTTCTGCCTTCGAAACTGTTTTCTGGATTTTCTAGTTGCTATTTAAACGCTATTCCAATTTGCAATATTTACAGATATTTGGTACAAATTTCGATTACAACCTTCAGTCATTATTTAGTATGATATGACAAAATAAAAGGATTTACATTTTACGATATAATGTGTTTTCAGAAATGTACACAGTGCGCTATGTTAACCCCAAATCGGAGGACGGTAAAACTAAACAGTTTACTATCTACTCTCCCATAGCTCCGTCTAATAATAACGTGAGTCATTTTTATTATTATCCAGTAATAACGGAACTTCTGTTTTTTTTAATGTGCTGATTAAGTCCCAAGCTGATAACTTCTGTTTTTTTTTTTCAAAAGGAATTAGCATAAGTCTTCATAACTAAAATAAAATCGGGGGGTATGCAACGACCATTAATGTCAGTAGATGGAATTTTGTCAAAACTGACATTGTCATCAATGGTCATTAATGGTCATTAATGGTCATTAATGGTCATTAATGGTCATTAAATAATTGAAATTCTGAACTATCTTGGAAGCAACATGTCCAAGAAATTTACAATTGTGATCACTTTGTATCACTTCTATAAAGTTTCTCACAGCCCCCTACATCGATTGCCAGAGTCTCGTTTGAGAAAACGAATTAATATTCGCCTTCGGTTTCGGAATGAGTGCCAAGCACCATTCTGTTATACGTTGGTAACTTGTCTTGTCTGTTTGCTTGTTTGCATTTGACTTAGTATAAATACTTGTTTGCAGTTGACTTAGTATAAATGCTTGTTTACAGTTGACTTAGTATAAATGCTTTGCAGTTTGCGTCGATTTGAATTGTATTGATTTCCTTTATTTGTGTTGATTGCTTTTGATAATTTGGATTTTCAATACCTCCTCACAGTACCTTCTATGCCATCGTAAGACGATATTTGGAAATAAAAGTCGGAGATCGAAATTTTTTGGTACCGGCTGTTTCGAGGGTTCTGTGCCATACCAACCGGGCTGCAAAAATTCTTCTAAGCCCTGTCAACGTCGAACAATTCGAAAGGGCGACTCATTAAGTGCTACCTTTGTTCCAAAAAATGCTAAACGTCCCCTTCGTTGCCTCGGTACCATCTTATCAATGAGTGTCTCTGCTTCAAAAAAGGGCAACTGCAGATCTAGACGAATTCCTGCCGCATCAATTTGTCCCTATCATGATGACAGTGCTCGATTTTGGGTCAAAACTTTAAACTGCCAAAGGCAGAGTATTGAACTGTAAACGAATTGTTCTATCTAATCCTAGGAAAAGATCAGCTTTTTTGTTGACCGATTCAGACTGATGACGATGTATTTCATGAAGTGCTAAAGTTGAATAAGTTCATCTACTGTGTAATTACTATGTAATCGACTAGCATAATGATTTGGCTCAAATATAAATATTGATATGATATTTAAGAACGGGAACGAAATATTTAATTTTAATACCCGTGTTATTATTATTTTATTATTGATTGATATTTTACTATTGATACGATCTGATACTCCTAAATTGCCCTTTGAATTATTATTATTGATAACTATAAGTCACCAACTGTTATCTGGTTTAAATCCCGTGGCCGCAAAATTTGTTCTTCATTACATTAGAACTTGATAAATGTAATCCCTAACTCACTCTGGAATCCACTCTAGTGATATTCTGGAAGGTCTGCCTAACCACGGAAGATTCTATTCTAAGTTTTCTCTTTCGAATCTCTAATTGTAAATGTAAAATAATAACATATACTTGTAGTTAGTTAACTTAAGGTAGGGTCTAAATGATGCAGGCGTCCGTCCTTTTCGCTCTAAGAAGTGCCGGAAAAACATGACCATTAATGTCAGTAGATGAAATTTTTTTTTTTTTTTTTTTTTTTTTTTTTTTTTTTAGATGAAATTTTGACAAAACTGACATTGTCATTAATGGTCATTAATGGTCATTAATGGTCATTAATGGTCGTTGCATACCCCCCATAAAATCAATTTTCACGATAAAAATGTACATTTAAAACATCAGAATAACTAGATCATCATTTAACGAATCATCATTTGTCAGGTAAAGATACTAACTTCTCAGTCCTCAAAGCCGTCAGAAAAGATTCTGCTCCCAAAAGGAGGCACCCTGTCAGCTCAGGAACAGAACAGGAAGCGGAAGTTGACGCCGACCAAGGCAGGGATATCCTCCTCTCAGCAACCCAACAAGTTGACCAGGATAGAGCCTAAACCTCACCAGACTGCTGCTTCATCACAACACAACGAACTTATACAGAGGTTAGAATCTGAATAACATAGTTAGGAGATCTGAGGTATTTACTGTTATCTTCCCTTTACTTAATTTTAGATCATTCATTTGAAACGAAATAGAAAAAGGAGTCTCAGTATGCAAAATTCTGGCGAAGGAATTTTTTTCATTTTATTTGTAGTTCTAACAATTTGGCTGTTTCCAGGGTAAACAAATCATTGGAAGGAGATCGTGAGGCTGTCCAAAGACCAGACTGTAACACTCCCTTTGAATCATTCCCGGACGCTTTTAGAAAACTTATGAAATACCACATCTTCTTTGAGCCGGACACAAAGGATTCCTATCTTAAAAGAGGTAGCATCAAAATACGTGTAAGGTTATCCGTAAATTACTGTTGAGTAAATTACATTCCACCAGTGTACAATGAGTACCCTAATTTTGTCTTTTTTATCGGTGCTTTACCTTTCCCATTTGGCATCTCCTGGTGTGTGTCACATTTTGTTCCTACAAAAATGTTCACGATATTTATTTCGTCAGTTGACAAGTTGCATGACGAAGTATCACAAAAGTTAGATAAAAGAAAGGAGAATCTTTTCAACAAGTACTACAGTCGAATCATGGCGGATGTTGCTAGACCTATGCCGGTAAATATGATGATACAAATTAATGTTTCTTATACGGTTTCTTCCTTGGAATACCATTTGCATTTTAAGACTTGAGGTTACCTTGTTTATACCTCAGAATTACGCCGAAAGCTCTGTTGCTGTGTCTTTGCTGCAACAGAAAGTCCCTCAAGACAAAGAGGAACTGCAAGAACTCAAGGATGAAATCCGTAAGGCTAAGGCTGATAAAGCGAGAGAGGAGCAGAGGGAAAGTGAAAATATTTCTCCCGACCCTGAAGGTAAGGCGGTATAATTTGGCACTTTTGGTTCTCTGCGCGCACAGTTTTCCTTTTGATATTTTCGTGCGCGCACCTTGCAAAGAGTGTAGCTTTGCGCATTTCAAAACTGTTTCTTTGCGATTTGATTGGTCGGTTGCTGTCACGTGATCTATGACGTTTTGGAATTATGTATTTTGTCCTGCAAAACGTTCAAATTCACGTGGTTCCCATGTTGTTGCAAAGTGATCTTGGCGGAGGTCCAGTAAACAAACCCCATTTCAGGAGAGTTTGACTGAGCAATTCGCCACTGTTCATGCACTGTGTGCAGATGAATTCAACCGGACAAAACTGAGGATGCTTTGAGTTAACTCTTAATGACGAACGGATTCTATCATCAACTCTCCGAATATACTTAATTATGCTCAGTTTTTCGCAAAATTGCGATTCGAATGCGAGATTTTACAGGCGAGATTGTGCGTAAATATTCTTTTAATTTCGCGCTTTTTGATTTAGGGTATGCTCTACTTAAATAAATTTGTTTTGTAATTGTTCTTCTTAAAGAAAATTGATAGTCGAGTTAAGATACATTTGTTGTATGTAGGTAAAAGTTTTATATACCTCAAAGAAGCAGGTTGAGACCATCCTCAATTGCCTTAAAACAAGATTAACCAGATCCAATGTTGCTTTCAATGTATGATAATTTGTCTAAGAGTGTAAGATTGCCGGTTCATCAAACAATTTATATTTTGAGTTCTTGTTTCCAGCTTTAATAATTAACAAGAATAATCTGACATAATTTAGCACTTCTCGACATGGGCCCATTACGGATAGTGGGGAAGTTATGATGCTGATATTATATTTATATATGTATGATTTTGCAGTCTAACTTATTCCTAATTTGACGAGTTTTACTTTGACATTCAACGCTTCAAAAATCAAAATAGACAAAATCGCCTCATACCGGAGTTTTACGTCAATTTTGATGTTTGGAGAAACTTAATTATTGGTTCCTAAGATCATGTTATGTATTGCACTGAACATGTGATCAAATAGCAGCAGAATCTTAAATGGTACATCTATTTTGTTTCAAATCAAGAAATAAGGGTTTCTATCACGTAATATGACTTCAACCGTTGGCAGTATAGACATGATATAGACATGGTATAGACATGTAAGCCTGCCGGTGTTGTACGTGTAAGCCTGCTGGTGTTGTACGTGAAGCCAGCCTGTGTGCAAGAACCTGACACTACCAACTGTCCATGTCGGCACTAAAAATCTAATTTTGTCGGTTGCTCAGGAATGCGATATTAACAGTAAACTGTTGGTAACGTTGAGTTGAAAAACTCAAAAACAGGAAAGCCGTCTAAATCTCTATCCACTTTGGGAAAAAGAACCGTGTTGAAATGCGTGCCCAGTAAACCATCATCAGTTACAAGCTATAACATAGTATATAATACGTAAGGCTCGTGGCAGTTCGCGGCGCGTGAATCTGTTCGAATTAGGCGCCCTCAATTAACCAGGCACTCTGCTTTCAGTTGCGTATGGAATTGGTTACTATTATATGTGATGTAATGTGTACATCTGATTGATTTTATTTTGTTAAATGTGTTGTTCAATTATGTTTTTAAGTAATGTAGCAAAGTCTTTTCCACTCTAATAGATAGTTACTGGTTACTGAACAGATTGCATTGCCAAGTTAAGGATAAACATCAAACACGTGTTGGCACATAGTTAAAAGTAGCACATTTGCTCGTAATACAGTTTAATAATATTCTCGTCTAATTGTACTTGTTATCCTGACCATTCTCCGGAATCCTGTCGCACAGGGTTATGGGTGCCGTGAAGGGGAAAATGTTGTGCAGTTGTCCTCATTGTCATGTCATGTCATGTCATGATAATAAACATAGCTGGAATACGGCAGTTTTATACAGTTGGGACTGGGAGTTAAAACTTAATACAGTGCTCAAAAATTCATCCTAATCAATGGTATTGTATTAATTATGATAGTATAGTATTTATAATAGTACTGTCTTTATATTAATCTACGCCGACAATATGATTACTAGGAATAATGTAAACCCAAATTATAAATTAACTATTCAGTATAATATGCGATGTGGCACCACTCGGCACTCTGGTATGCTAGAAATTGAATTTGTTCTTTTCTCTGCATTATCGGCCAACTTGTGGTGACGTGGATCGCGGTAGTACAGACGTTGTGGACGAAAACTTGATATTGATTAAAAAATGGCCACATGTGTTATTGGCTGACTAGCCAGTTTATTACTCCAAATCCAATCAGCACAGCGCGGCTTGTACAAACCCTGGATTTAGGATGTGACTACTGACCACATATCAACACCAACCAGTCCGAGTATAATTTCACGGGGTGTGTCGAATAATTTGAGGTGTACTGGTGTTTTGTGTCAAATTGTATTGCTACATCATCAGTAGAATTAGATAATAGAGGGAGTAGTAGGTCGCAATAACTAGAACAATGGGTTCATATTGACCCGCAAGTACTTAACCGCGCAGTATTGTTTCCCTGCCCCCCTCCCGGTTATTGTTACCCTCCCTTGTATAAACCCACCCGCTATATGTTGCGTTCTCGTTATATGTTTTCTGTTATGCACTGGTTTGTGTGACCATTTTTATGTTCTATAATTCGTTAAATGTAATTTTGTTATAGTTACTAGGTGAAACTATTAGGGGTGTTTGCCGGTGCTTTCGAAGCCGACTCATTCAGGTTATTTCATGGTCTTGAATGGCCGCTGAGTGCTGTTGGAGGTGTTTATTGTTAGTATAGAGGGCTATTAGTGGATTAACCTGCTGTTAGTGTTATGGTAATAGAGGGCTGGTACAGGGCTATTAAGCGGTGATCAGCATTGTACCTATTTTCCAAATTTTTCTATGTGCATATCTCCGTACATATTAAGGTCATCTCTGTTACATTTTCTTATTGTAACAATGTTAAAATTACAATGTTCATTCATCATTAGTACGAGCGTCAAAAAAAGAGGAGCTAAGGCAGATTTATTAGAATATCCTATTCTAAAACTCTCTATTCTATGAATATGATTGTTTATTCTAATATTTAAAGGTAACCAAGTCTGCCCGAAATAAAAACCGCAGTCACATGAATTATACACTGAGCTACATAAATGACATTACTATCACTACAATTCAGGTTCATATTTATTTCACAGTTTTGTGGTTATTTACTTTGAAACTCCCACTTGGGTGACGACTGTTAAGCAGCAAGTCAGACATCGAGAACTACCCCAAGCATACGTCGTGTTGTTATCATCTTTCTGCCTTTGATGTTATATTGTTATAAGTAGCAGTGGCCAGCTTTCTTCTTTTGAATAACTGGTCGGTAAACAATGTTTACTAAACATGTTGCTGCCTCTTCTGTTAGCGATGGTCAGTTTAACTTCTTTCCTAATGAGTTTTAACTCTATCCAGGCATTCATCTTTATTGACTGTTTGTACTTTCTCCTGAACCTTAATCAATTTCTCTTCGTCATATCCACTCTGTTTAAGGTCCCGAATAATTTCATTTGCTGCACTTCATCATGTGCTGCTTTGTCTGAACAGATTGTTTTTAGCTCTTATCAGTTGTAAATATGTGGTGGTAACTGGTCTTCTGCAAGAACCGTCGGTTGTTTGTTGGTTTCTTGTTGAGTGATGTAGCTATACAAAGTGTACCATTATGCGTTTGTTTAATGTGAACCATAACATCGAGGCGTCCCTGTTTAAATTGTTCATAGAAAAATTAAATATCATCTATGTATCTCTTCCACAGTTTGATAGATGAGTCCCAGTTCTAAATGCGTTCTTCTACATTTTAGGAAATTAATAGGGGCCATCTACTTAGGACGTCCGCCAAAATCGCAGATTTTCAGACCACCCCCGGCCCCCCCTCCCCTGTCCGGGTGTGTCCAAAATGTCAAAACCAACCCCTCCCCCGGAGTCCGGACGTCCGGATTTCCAACTACTTTTAAGAGTACAAATAAAACTAACTCAAATTCATTGTTAATAAAATGTGTACCTTATCGGACCTTATTTGAACGGACATTAATTGAACGCTGGAGGTCCTAGCGTTCATTTTAATGCCCGTTCAAATAAAGTCCGTCCGTTCAAGGTCCGTCCAAGTTAAAGTTTGTTTCAAAGTTTCAATCTCAGGAGATTTTTTCCAATATTAATATTATTCCACTGCGAACTCATGTTTAGGATATGACAACTTTTTAATTTCAGTCAATTGTAATTTGTATCATCGGATTCGGACTAAACTATATCATTGGATCAATGAAAAACGAGTTATTATACAATTTATCATGCCATAACTATAAGTATCACATTAATATTATGGCATGATCACTTTCTTGGTCTTCGGCTTCCTCGTTCACTTCTTCGGACTAAACTATATCATTGGATCAATGAAAAACGAGTTATTATACAATTTATCACTATAACTATTATAACTATAAGTATCACATTAATATTATGGCATGATCACTTTCTTGGTCTTCGGCTTCCTCGTTCACTTCTTCGGAGTTATTATTTACCTCCACATCTTGTAAAAGTTTACACTGAAATGCAGGACCGAGGTAGTCAAATACAAAATTGTTTTCATGTTTCAAAAAGCAGGTATCATACTGATATGATGCTTTAAGCATGGAAAATTTAATGCACGATAACCCATTTAAGGAAGATCACCTGTGCAGTGATAATGATCATCAAATCTGGTCATATTTCGTATCTGTTGTTTTTACACAACTTTCATAATCATAGACACTGATCTACAGATATTTTGACATTTTTTACTGCTTAACGAATAGAATGCCTTTCTTGCTTATTGTATGAAAAATTAATTTACAAATTATCTGCAAAAGTTTCAAAAACGCAAAAAAAGATGAAAAATTTTGGATTTTTGATGGTTTTGAATCCCTTCGAGCGTTAATTTTTATGTCCGTTCATAATTATGTCCGTACATTTAATGTCAGGTCAAATAAGGTCCGATAAGGTAGTTACTTAAATATAGACAATAATATACATTTAGTGTCGAACAAGTTACATTTAGCACAGTTACATTTAAGTACATTTAAGTACTCGTTCAAATACAGGGATCTAAACTTACAAAGTAATTAGTGTCAAACAGTTGAAATAAATGGGACTTTTTCATTAATTCTGCTAAAATTTCCGGACGTCCGGAGTTTCAGAAACCACCCCCTCCCCCTGTCCGGATTTGTCCGAAATACCAAAACCACCCCTCCCTATTTGCCGGACGTCCTAAGTATAGATGGCCCCTAGGTATTTCAGGAATGTGCCTTGAAATGGGACCGTCAGTCGGCACAGCTTTAATGATTGTAAAGAAATACTCTCCGTATTCTAAGTTTGAGTTTTCCTTATAGCAGAAGTGGATGCTTGTCATCACTTATGATAACTGATTTTATATTCTCCGTCAGGGTTTTATACCCTTCCAATGCCATGTTACTGGGCCGCGCTCAGCCTGTCATTCCGCCGAATCTCTATTCGAATCTCTATCCGCCGAATCTCTATTCGGTATGTTTATGAACATAATAGCCTGAGGTCCCCAGGTAAATGCCATGCTGATTTGACCTACTTCATAATACGATGTTTTGCCTTATGTTTGGATACATTGATTTTACGTTTATTGTAAATAAGAGGTCTTCTTTATTTATGACTATAAGTATATGTCCTCACTCATATATTATGTTAATAAGAAATCATTAGTATCTTTGATGTATTTATCTTTTGAGTAGTTCCGTGAGACCTGTCCAAAATTATGAGCAATGTATTTTCTAGTTGTCTAGTTGTTGGTGACTGAGTAAGTGTGTGTACTAACCTGAATGGTGGAATTAGCTTGTTTCTTA